ATGCTTATAAATTTTGAAAGGAAAGTCGTAGGAAATGTGGCGACCCGTCATTTTCTTCAGAATTTTGTATTCTTTAAGTTGGTACTGTTAGAAACGAATTATTGCAAAGTCTTTCTGAGACTTGAAAAATATGATTTTGGGTTTTCTAGAAACCTTGCTACCTTAAATCATCTATGAAATTTGGGTATAGGATGCATTTAATAGAGCTCTTCATTGGCTATCCGAATCACTATTTGGAGTTCAGTTAGATGCTTGTTATTATAGAAAAAATCAAAGATACATTTTTGTTTAAACTTTTGTCTTTGACTGTATATTATAAGCAAAATCAATTGACAAGCAAATATTCCGTGAGGATAGATAAAAAAAAGAAAAAAGAATTGAATAATTTAGTCATTTTTGATCATGAACAATCTATCTATTGAGGTATAATTTATTATTTTTGATAGAATAATTATTCCAAAATAATCCATTGATCTGTTAGCAAAACAGATAAAGATATAATGAAGTATTATCTATTGAGTTTTTTTTCGCTAGCATCTTGTACAACAAACTAACAATATTCATATGAATAATAGAATTTCATAACAAGTTAATCTATTATAATTTGAATGAAATTAAATAAGTTTCTTTTTCATATAGATTATCTGGTCAATGTTCAAAAACAATAAAATCCAAATATGCTTTATTTGAATTAATTGGAAAAGATAAAAATGATAGTAAAATTTTTGGTGTCAGTAATATCCATGAACGAGATGTAAGAAAGAAAAAAAAAGATTTCATATGATTTATATTTAATTGATTTTAATTTAGAAATGGATTAAACATATTCGTCAAATATTAAATCGAACAAATCAAAATTATATTTCAAACGAGTAAGTACAAAAAATAGAAAAAAGAAAATTTTTAATATTTATCTGTTGTGTTCGGTCAAGTTTACATATTATTCATCCAGATCTGAGACAAAATTGGAAAGAAGATTTACATAAAATAGGTATTTTTTGTAAATAAGAACTTGAACAAAAAAAAACACGATTAGCTCTGCTCGTTTTTGGTTTTTCAATTTTATTGATTGGATTTTTTCTAAAAGTTATTTTTCTTTGTTCTCATATATTGATCTTTTTCTTTTTAGATCATATTAATAGTGATGTAACTTCTGTTTATGAACCATTTGCATCGAGTAAATTAGATTTATACTTTTTTTTTCTTTCTATTTTTGTTTTTTTTTGTTTACAGAGTAAGTTGAATCTATTTGTTGAACAATTAGTTGAAAAAAAATTATATTCAGTTCAACTCATCGGATAATAAATAATGAATATCATATAGAAGAAGGTAATAAATTAGTTAAAGAAAAATCTAATAATTTATTTCCATAAAACATTGAATATGTAATTTGAATAGATAGTATTTGAAGAGTGTACAGATTTACTTCTATGCATCAAATTTTAAGATTACGAAACAAAAATCATGTGATTGAATATGAATAAAAAAATAAGACTAGATAAAATTTCATTAGAAAATATTTTCAGAACATCTTGACTAACTCTACATCATATAATGATTCATTTAAAATGTACCGATTATCAGAAAACGGTGTATGTGTCTAGATCAACTTCTTCGTTCGGTCCTTATGAGATAGAACAAATAACATTCCTATTTTTCATGTTTTATTTTAAAAAACCGATAAGAAATATATGAGTCATCTTTCACTAGAGTTATTTCAATTCACTTATACATAACTTGAATTTATTCTTTAATAATTATTCATATGAAAATAATATAAAAAAAAATAAAACATGATCTTGTCTAATTGTTATGAATTAAGATAAGTTCATATTTTTGTTTTTTTTAAGAACTAATTATACTCCAAAGTTGTTGCTTAACATGTCTTATTCAAATTAAGTGCATAAGTCGACCTTGAACTTATAATCGACAGTTTATTTATTCGCTATGACATCGTTTCATTTAACTTTCAGTAAAATAGATAAGAACATAGAACGAATTTATGCGTCCTATCTCGTCCTTGTCTCATTAAGGCACAGGAACGATTAAAAAAAAAAAACTTTAGGTTCTCTTTGTCCCGTAGGACAGATAACGAGCAAATAGCGAAAATTTCGTACCTCAGCGTACTTCATTGATAAATTACAGTGAAGTATTTGGACTTTATTGATAGACAAACTTATCTAAAAATGAAGAACAAAATTTTTGCTTACATCATAAAATCAGAAGGGTCCTATCCTATGCTAAGTTCTGGTGTGAATTTATATCGCTTGTTGAACTCTAAGATAGATGATATAATCATTTGATAAAATGACTCAATCATAGTGGCGAAACCAGGATTTTAACGGTGAAAGGGCTCGTAAAAGTGTTTAGCTGACCCAGCTTCGCTCGGTGGTGAGGCTTAGCCCCACCTGGCCACTCTCTGGTTACGCTACTACTTAATCATAGAAGGAATCGATATTTATAAAGATTTCGAATCGATTAATTTAAAAATTTTCGAATTTGAATTCGTCCATTGACATCAAACTTGAAAGACTATAATCATCATTTATTTCTATAGATCATATTATTTTAATCAAATAAATGATTAAAATCTAAAACATAATCTACAAAAAAAAAGGTATAAATTCTTCGTGATGATGATTTTTATTCGATGAATTAATGATCAATCTACTATTTAAATTAATTGAACTAATAATGTATAAATCGCAGTATTATAATTTTTAATCAATAAGAGTTTTCTAAGGTTTTTTAAACTTTATATTTTTGATTCACAAAAAAATAAGATCAGACAGTTCAGAACAAATTAAGACTATAATTAAAATAAATTTTTCTCAATTTAATGATTACAATTATTCTAAATGAAATACATCTAACATAAACATAAATATTGCACTATTTGAATTTAGAACGACGTCCAACTTTATCTAAATCAAGAAGTACATCTATTTTACATCATCGTCCTCCACCTCCAATACCAAACGAAAGATATATAAATTCAAATGAAAATAATCAAAGAGAAATACAACAATATCATCATTCTCATAGTTCTCAAACAACGGATAATATTTATCTCTCAGTAACAAAAATTCCACAATGTTTTATTAACGAACATAATAAAAGAAATATAAAGTCTCAATCAAATTTTGACATAAAAACAGAAGAAGATTTTTCAACATCATTAGATAATCAAGTAAAAAAAAATAAAAATTTTATAAAATATGTTTTTTTTTTTTTGATTTTTTAATTTAGTCATTTACATGGGATGATATCTTTTATGCTAACGAATTTAATGATCATGCACAGTAAATATTTTTCAAAATAAAAAATTTATTTTTTATATATGTATTTTTTTTTTCTTAAAAAATAACCATCAAGTATTCTGAATAAAATTTCTCAAATTGGAGCTTTTCTTGTTCGACCTCATTCTCTGAAAACTAATTCAAATTATCATGATTATGTATGTCATATACATTAAAAACTTAAAACGAAAAAAAACAAACAAAGATTTTTTTATTTTTTCAGACATTAAATATTTATGCATATGGAGAAATAATAAAATATAAAATCTTAGTTTTAGAGGTAATTTCTTAAAAAATTTTTTTTTAAATATCAAATTAACTAATTTATAATATTTAGAATGATAAATATAGTTTAGTAGGCAATAATAGTCAACCATGTTTTTTTACTATTCCTGATCTTTGTCAATATTATACAAATCATCAATTACCACGTTCAACTTTACGAATTGATTCAACACAAAATACTGTTGAAAATATTTATCTCAAATGGCCATATACTTATTATGAATATAATCAAAGAAATAAATTTTAAAGACAGTGAAAAAAAAAATAAAAATAAATCGATGAAAATGTTTCGTTGTTTTTTTTTCTATTCTTTACACTGTAATTAAATTAAGGTAAATTAATTTTATTAATAATATTAAAAAAAAAAAAATAATGAAATAACTTTGAATCATATTAGATGAAAATGACTGTTTCTAGAATATAACATTTTTTGTTTTATTTTTTTCGTTCTGTATTAATATTATGAAGAACGATAATAAACAAAACGTGGTAATAATAATTAATTTGTAGATTCTACAGCAGTTTTTTATTTTTATTTTAGTTTGTTATGAAAGTGATATGAAATAGTTAAAGAAGTTTTTTGTTTTTTTCGAAATAAAATTATTTCTTTTATTAAAAGAAAAATGTTTTTTTTAAATAATCTTCATCGATCTCTGAGCTTATTTATTTTGCTCATAACGATATCGTTTTGTATAGTTAAATTATTCTATTCATCACGTCATACTTAATTTATTTGATGTTAATAGATACTTTTTCTTAGAGGATGAATGCATTGATGAAAGTCTCTATACTTTTCTCACATTCTCTGAAACTTGAGTACATCATGAAATCCTTTAAGAATGTTGTGTTATATAAGATACATTTACGTCTCGGTAGTTTTCTTTTCTTCTGAAAGTTAAATAGTATCATTTTAAATAGATTAATGGAAAAGTTAAATGTTGTAGTTTATAGAATCTTTAATGATTGATTTATATTCAAAACGAAAATCTTTTGTATATTTAGTGATATTAGTGTAGAAATTTAAATAGTTTGAGATATACTTCAAATGTGTAAAAAAAAAACTTGACATTGATTTGATCTAGAATATTGCTTAGACTACGAAAGTAGAGTATTGTTCAATTCATTCTTTTCAAATAATAAACTGAATTTCTTCACTTTTTATCTTATAAACCATATCAATAAGAACATGATTCAAAAGAAAAAGAGTGTTCGTCATCGATCTAATTAATTGAAAAAAGAATAATGAAGAATAACTTTTTATATAAAATACGAATAAATTCTGAAATAGATCTTTATCAAATCAAGATCATTTCGAAAAAGAAAAATAATATTTCATTTAAGTTTTTTTTTGTTTTTTACAAATCCTATGATACTATTTATTTGATCTTTTAGATAACTTTGTGTTGTTCAAGTCAAATGAGTATAAAAGTAAAAATATATTAAACAAATAAAAAGTTAGTTTTATTTAGATGATAACAATAAAATAGTATTATCGAAATTGAATTTTCGAAAAATATTTAATAAATCAAAATCTCCAATCGAATATACATCATATAAATATCAACATATTCAAACGGAATGGATTATTCATCAAAGTCATTTAAAATATTTATATAATACAAAAATTCGTGGTGATTCACAATGTATGTTTTTATTTTCTTTTGCAATAAATAAAAATTGTTTTTATTTTAGTTGAAACTTATCTTATTGTATTAACTCGAATACCCATTGAAACTTTCGAGTATAAAATTGTATTATATCTATATTCTAATGAAAATAAATCTCCATCATATTTTTTTGAAATAGATCAAACAACACAGTAATTATAAAATGAAATTTTCTTTTTGTTTATTAAATAAATTATTTTTATTAGAATTTATGATCGATGTAATCGAATTATAGAACCAGCACCGAAATATTTTTTATTTGAATTAAAATTTATTAATCAAGAAAATCAAACTGAAATATTTGGTGCAAAAGATAATTTCGAACGACAAGTAAATTTTGAAAGACAAATTTTATTTTCTTCGTAGAATATGTTTTAGATATGGGTGCGAATATTAAAGAATATTTTTCCCAAATCTAAATCAGAAACATTACCAGTGGATTATTTATAGTAAATTTAAGGAAATTTTTCGTTTCTTTTTTTCTATTCTATTGTTTTACCAGTTTATTACCAACATCTAGTGAAAATGGTAATGAAATAACGAGTTGTTTGAATTTGTATATTATAAAAAGGAAGGAGTTCTCTTGTTTTTTTTTGCTTAAATTGATTTCTGATCATATTGCTAAATTTATCTTATGTCATTTGATTAAAGTTTTATTTAAATATTTTCTATTCAAAGGTGGAGAATCTTCTAATCCAAGAGTCGGTCGTAGTAAGCTGATTTTTCTATTTATATATATAAAAGAAAGCAAAACATTATGCTTTATAGATGCGTAAGTCAAACGATTTGGAAAATGTTCATCAAAAACGATAAACAATTTATTTTAGTTCTCGTCAAGATTACATAACAAGAAATATTTGTCATAGTGACCGTATATATTGTTCTATTTGTGTGTTTTCTTTTTATATTGAATTATATGAAATTTAGAGCAATATCTAAGCTGTCCAACAGCTCCGTCTGATTTTGAATTATCATCTTCTTCAAAAGCTGAACAACTTGAACATACTCAATCTTCTATTAATGAAAATAAAAACCATCAGTTATCTGGTATTGAATTATGTTCAAATGATAACTCAAATCCTTTTCAAGAAAAAGTAAAAACAAAACTAATGATATTTTTCTAAAATAAATGATATAAATAACCATTAGAGACTTATGTGGAATAGCATTTTTTATCGAAATAAAAATAATGATTATCCAAGGTGAGTGATCGAGAAAAAAAATCTTTCAATTTTAAATTTATTAGTATATATATTTTTTTTTTGCAAGTATTCTTGCTAGAACTAATGAATATGGTACCTTTCTTATTCGACCTCAATCAAAAAAATCAAGTACCAGTAATCATGATTATGTAAGCATTCAAAAAAAAACTTTTTGTAACTTCAATACATGAGTAAATTGTAATGTTGTTGTACCATTGATGTTTCCGAGTATCTACGTTAGAAGTTTCGTTTCGATCGAATGATTTTAAAATGTTTTTTTTAATTTAATTTCATTCATCAGTATTCATATCCAAGCCAAATTTTATATTTCTATGCCATGTCATTGTTAAATTACAAGATTGTCAATTAAAAAAATGGCATGTTTAGCGAGTCTAATATAGAAGAGAAAATTTGTTTGAGAAAAGAAAGGGATTGAGATAGAAATGTAAGCAGGTCACGTTGCAGTTTGTATATCATTCTATTGAAAAATGTGATTTAATGGTTTATGCGTTTTTGCCATTCCTATACTTCTGTTCTTGGCATCCAATGACAGACAATTTTCCTTGTTGATATTCAGTAGCATAGAACAACTGCTTCTGTAGACTGGAAAATACTTGAATAGACAACAAATATATCAAATAAAAGAGAACTTTTTTCATATAACAATGTTTATCTTTTTTTATTTCAATATTAGAGAAAATGGATTGAAGTAATCAAAACATAATTTATTCGCATGTGACAACTATCACCAGTTTTTTTTTGAAAGTGTTGCATTGTATTAAAGAGGATGAACATATTTTAAGTCTGTTAAAACTGACAAAATTGCATTGACTTCGATGCATTCTGGTAATAATGATGCGTCTAAACCATCTGCACGAGACGCAGAGCCAAAACTGGTCCCATTTAAGAGAGTGAGTATGTGAATGAGGATACATAAGGATATCATTGAGAGTACATAAACGATATTCATCCATATTCAAAACTTAGGTAAGGAATCTTATTATAACTTCAAAGTTACATCAGATATCCTAAAATGTCTTTTTATTATTTACATAAATATAAGGATGAAGTATTAAGGATCGTCTATTCTACATTTATCTCCTCTGTTTAATGTTTACTGTAATCATGCAAAAGTCTAATAATTAAACTATTCCAGGAAAACATCTATAGATTAAAAAGTGTCAATATGACTTCATAGTTACTCTAGCTCCAAATTAGTTTCATTTATTTTGTATTTCTTAAATTTTTTATATCTATGCAAGCAAAAGTAATAACATATTTGAGATTAGCTGACAAAACTACATCGATGTTTCTCAAGATCTGTCTATCATTCGTGAATTATTCAAAAATTAAGGACTTCGACAAAAGTAACCTATAGAATTTTATATTCTAGTCTTTAAAAAGGATTCAAAAATCTAAGATATTGAATTTTGATTAGAAAAATGATCTTCAGCTAAATATCACATTTATTAAACATTAATTATATGTTCTAGACATTATGTTTGTATTATCAATTTAATGACATTCGATGTTTTCCAATATATCAATTATCGACACGAGTAAAATGATTTCTTTTAATATTAAATAATAATTATTATTTTCTTCATAGAAAAATGAATATAGTTTAGCACAAAAAGATTCAAAAAATTTTGTCGATATGATTCATCTTTGTGAATATTATAAAACAAATCCATTACCGATGTCTACAAATAATAATGTTTATCTAAAAAATCCTTATAAATATTTTATCAATGAATATCATGATAAAAATAAAAATCATTGAGAAATATTTTTATTTTTATCATGATTATGATTTTTTTTTTTTGATTATATTTAATAAAATATTCTGGGATAAAGTGTCTTATAAAGACGTTAAATAATATTATATATGAAAATAAAATTTTTATTTTAGATAGACAACAATATATTTGTTGTTTAATTAAATTAAAAATATGCTGATCAATTTGATCGTTATTTAAAAGAAGATAAATCCAAGAATTATTTGTTTGTTTCGATTTGATTGATCGTGAAAATGAAACGAAAGATTATTGAAAGTTTATATTATACAAAATATCATCAACTAAGTAAATCAAACAGAAGTCATCGTTTAACTATACCATATAAATAATATTATCATTAGTTAACTTTTGAAATAAAAGAAAAATCGAAAATTTTAAACAAGATAAATCCAAACATTCAGATGAATTTATTGGTTTTATTTATTTTTTAGATATTCTAAATGTTTTTCTCGATAATTCATCCAACATAATTATTTAATCTTCTATATTGTTAATTATATAATGGTAAGAATGACATCATCACCATCAACAACAATCAATTCAAGTGATATATCACCACAACAAATTGGTAAAGCATTTGTTGTTCAATATTATCGTCTTCTTCATGAACATCCAGAATCTTTACATCGATTTTATTCATCATCATCAACATTTATGCATGATGATCCAAGTAAAACTATTACTGGAATTGAAAATATAGCAAAACGTATTGAAGAATTATCATTAAAACAACGTCATGTTAAAATTCGTCAAGTTGATTGTCATTCAACTGTTGGTTCATCAGTTGTTGTACAAGTTTGTGGAGAAATATCTTCATCACCGGTAGCAGATAATCAAATACCAACGATGAAACGTTTTGTTCAAACATTTGTTCTTGCACCAACAGTGAATGCTAAACAAAAATATTATGTACACAATGATATATTCAAATATCAAGATGATGCTACATGGACTACAACAACAGATAATACTAATACAAAAGCATCACCATCATCAACAACAGATAATAATGAAGGTAGTTTTTCTTAGTAATAATAAAAGATATTAATATACTCATTGCTGGATTAAACTGTGAAACACTATGTAGTTGCATTATTCTTTTACTTAGTCTTCTTGAAGTGCAATAAATAGTTCACATATTAAGCCGAGATGTTATTGAGATATGGTCTTTGACTATGTATCAGCAATACCTGGCATGATGTGTGAGAGAAAATGGGAAGGTGGATAAAGACCATCAAGTTGATCTTCAACACGGTCGTGCACGAGTCAGAAAACCGCTAAATAAGCTGGATTTGGATCCGTCGGACTCCAAAGGTGGGTTCAAGCTTTTGCTTCTTTACTTGAACACTTTTACTAGATCTTGTTTCACAAAAAATAGGCTCGATTAGAAAAAAAAACTGAAATAAAGTATATTTATCGATAAGAAACAATCGATTCGATCAGATTTTATTGACTTTAAAGTTAAATAGTTAAATGTTATGAAACCAATCTTGTAGAATTTTATGGATAGTTCCGTGAATAACTCTGAACTTTTCTATCCTAATATAGGTTAATAGATGTTTGTATCCGAGATTCAAACTTTACAAATCGTTAAAACTTTATGAAAGAAAAATACTTCAAAATGATGTTTGATTCATGAAACTCAAAATGGTTTTTTGAGTATTGGATACTTCAAAATTCAAATTTTTTAATTTTTCTCTTCATATGCGCATGTAGAATGACTTCATATGAATTTCTGTTGTAAACGTTTTTGCACAATATGTCTGGACAGTTTTCATTTACATATAAGTCATTGTGAAAAATGATAAGTAATTGAATAAAATCAAAATTTCATAATCTCTCTAACTATATATTGACAACATTTTTTGGCTTAAAATTAATTGAGTTAAAACCAATTTTTGATGGTGGTAATAATCGACGTTTGTACAAAACACCAAAATAAAGTGTTAGTAAATATATTTGCTCATTTTTTTCAATAATTATATTTCATTGAACGATATCAAATGTCGTCAATTAGAACCAGAATCTTATGCTCCGTCTAAATGTATGCTTGCCATTTTTATCTGACTTATGGTTAGTTCGCCGTGAGCAAATATTTCAAGAAATAAAAAATATTGTTTGTACGAACGAGCTAGCTGTCTTAGATGTTCTCTTTTGATGTCAACGATTTTTCAATATGTTCTACATAGTATTCTAGTGAAAGCATTCAAAAGATCTGATGTCCTATTGAGACTTGTCCGAACTAATGAATTTTTAATATATCTATTAACCAGAGATTCCTATAGGACTCGACATTTTCAGAAAAACCTTGTTTTTGAGTGTTATCTTGAAACTACCTCAATTAGAAGATCTCACATACAGTAGCTTAGATGAAAAATTTCAGAGTTTGAAGACTTTCTATCGTTAAGACACAAACTTTTGAAACATTTTCTGCAATATTGATTACGAACCGAAAAGCGTCTATTTTCAAAAAGCTCATAATCCATAAGTACGAAGCCTTAAAAGTTTGAAATTCTTCAAATTGAGATAGTTTCAAAACAAAATTAATAAACATGCCTCGTTCGAAATCTTGGAGTCTTACGGAGCATTTGATAAATGGAAAAATTAAAACTTGATTAGCTTTACCAAGTCTCAATATGTATTCAAATCCTTTTTGCATCTTCACTAGAACATTATGCAATACCTATTGGAAAAAATCCAATGAAGTCAAAAGAAAATATTTGAAGATGTTTCCTGACAAGCAATATTATTTCTTTTTAGTATTCATCACTTTTCCAGATGAAAATTTGGAAATAGTGTTAGCTTTATCACGTCGTAAAGAATTCTATTATCTATCATGGTACGAATTGTAATAAATTAGAGCTCAAAACAATTTAATACTATGAACCTTATTCAAAAAAACACGATTTTTTCGAGTCGCAGTATTTAGAATGTAATCGATTACGGTTGTATCTTGTAACACGTAAAAAGAATAAGCAGTTTTGATTAAAGTATACATTTGAACTACATGAAAACTTCTACGAAACCTTTAATCTCAATGCACTAAATTTAAGTCAGAAAAAAAAATTTGTAGATTTATAATTAACAGCAACATAACAATTCTGATTCTAGCTTATAATTTTTTACTCTACCCAATAACTCATCAATGATTGACAATAAACTAGACATATTGTGCATAGATATTTCCAATTAGGATTTTATTCTATCGACAAATGATTACTATTATACTCTTAGTTTTGTTTAGAAAAATATTCTAATTTTATCAGTAATTTTCCATGAGTTTCTTTTAATATTTCGATTACATAAATTAATGAAATTCATCTAACAAACAAAACTATTCATAAATATACACGTTTTTAATATAACTCATTTCAGTGGCATCATTTGGAACTGTTTCAGCAAAACAAACATCAACTTCAATGGTAGAAACATCAATAATACCATCATCTTCAACAAATACTAAATCTTCAGATAATATAATACCTAAAAAAAATGATAAATCTAAAACAAATACAAGTTCAATAGCTAATGTTACACCTCCAGCTACACCTGTTAATGAACAAGACAAAACTCAAGCAAAAGAACAATCATCAAAACCAAAATCTTATCGAGATGCTATTGGAAAAAAAGAAAAACAAGTAACAACACAAACAACAAATGAGAATCAATCAAAATCAGCTGCAACTGGAACAAAAACATCCAAATCAGGTAAACAAAAATCATCAAAATTGGGTAATCGAAGTACACGAACAATGCGTGGCTATCCTCAAGATATGAATGATTATTATGATGATTCATGGTATTATAGAACAAATGAAGAAGGTTATTTACATACTGGTTATACAGATGATCAAGAAATATTTATTGGAAATCTTTCAGCTCAAGTTACAGAAGAAGAAGTAAAAAAAAAAAAAACTAAAAAAAAAGAAACCTATTTAAATATTTACTATATAAATTTAGATTCATGAATTATTTCGTCCATATGGTCGTCTTCTTCTTATTCGTATTGGTAATACAGGATCTCAAATTGGTGCAGCAAATTTTGCATTTGTTGTATGTCAATCCATTGAAATGGCTAAAGCAATTGTAGCTGATCATGAGAATCTTTTAAAAAAACATCAGATTAATGTTGAAGCAAAAAAACGTCGTCCATTTCCACATACATTTCGTCCAACATATCCGACAGCTGCTTCTCCAACAAATTATCAATCAACTGGTCATCCAGCATCATTTTATGAACATTCATCATCGACACCATTTTATGATGGAGGAATTCCTAGTCGTGGAGCACGACGTGGTGGAAAAATAGGAACACATTAAAAATTTATTGTGCTTTGTTGTTGTTCTTTTTTTTTTTTGTATTGCACATTCTTAGTGCATTTCTAGGTATCTTTTTCTTTTTGCTCTTGTTTGTTATAACTATTCAAAACATTTTTTGTTTTGTTAGTTACTTTTGTTTTTCGGATAAAGTGATATTATTCTCGCTGTTATTATTATTATTATTGTTGTTATGTATTTCTCTTTCTTTTGTATTATGGATGAAAGCTCTTGAGAATTTAGAAGAAAGTGAAAAGATAATAATGATTATCTTTTGTTTTTCTTATTCTGGTCTCTTTTTTTCTATTGTTATGTTTGCTCATCTGTTTTTGTTTCATCCTTGTTATACTTAACTTTCAATTTGAATAAACTTGAAAGCTATCCATTACCTTATAAAGAATTCTTTTGTTATTTTTCAATCTATCAAATGCTATCGTTAATGTTATGTCAGAAACAAAAATTAATTCGTTATTATAGACGATGGAACCATAAAGCCTGGATACGCTCAAGTCTACAAAAGATAGAATAGGATCGGTTCGAAAACAAAATGAGCCAATACCATTTCACTTCTGTCTCGTTTTTTTTTCACTGTTAATATACACATATTAGAAATTGAAGCTTTTTAATCATGTTAGTAATGAATAAAACATAAAGTGAATTATTTTCGACATTTTTCTGCATCAATATCATACGAATCATGTCCATGAATGATGACGAACGATAGCTAACACGATTCATATAGTAGTGAAAGAAATATTGTGTTTTTCAACCCGCTTATTTTCTCTTTTTATTGCTTTCCGCTTGGTACGCTTATGTCTTTTATGACTAATTAATGATAGAACTCTAACGAGAAAAATAACTTGTTGAATTTACTTCTTATTCAATACTACCGATCGAGAACAGACAGATCGATTTGAATATATTCTCTGGTGTTGGACTTTAGATTTAAAATATCAATGATGACGACGAATGATGCTAGATTTATGTAGGACTCAGTCGACTTAGTTATGACATACGTCGGTTCAACAATTTAGTAGGATGTATCAATTTCATAGAATGCTAATTATTGAAAAATTTTAGTTGCTTGTACCAAATTAACTGCAATAAATGTGCAACAAGTAAATTTTTCGCGTCAAGGTATTATTATTCATAGAAATATCATGATAAATAAGTAGCAGAACTTCCAAAAAAAAAAAAGAATCATCAGTTTCAATTACTAATTATACTCAAATACATGGATGTGAGATGTTCAGCAGAAATAGAACTTGAGGTGGAAATGAGCGTGAAGACGTAATAACGATTCGATACATCCATGCTTTCACTCTCACACTCTCAAATAAAATACAAATTAAAATATTTATATGTATAAAGAAGTTGTCCAATATATTAGTATATGTTTCTCTTGTTTCTGTTAGTGAAAACAAATGAAGTCCTTAAATATATTTTGAGATGATGTCAGAATGATGATACACCTTCACGCATTCAAAATGCAAACAAATAATTTCAATAGAAGCAGAACGATCAAAAAAATTTTTCAAGTAACTAATGCTTAGAATAATTGATCTATATGTAAATATTTTTTATTATGATAGAAAAAAATACCTTTTATGAAAATAATAAGTATGCCATGATTTTATTTTTTAATCATTGACTGCAGAGATGGGCAAGTCAAGTCACTTTTTGACTTGAAACAAGTCAAGAAAAAAACTGGACATATTTTTGCAATTTATGCGTCTAATTACTGTCTACACTAAAAGTACCTATGAGAGCAGAAACAAAGAAAAAGAAATTCTTTCATATACTTCAGATAAGCGGCAGCCAAATGAGAATATATAGTCATTTGTTGACTTGACTTGGAAAGCGCTGTGACTTGACTTGACTTGACTTGACTTGAATCTTAAAAACCCCTGACTTGCCCATCTCTGATTGATTGACTCACTGTGTGTTGCCAACAACTGTTCATCTTCTTGTTTCTGAAAAAAAATCAAGAACTGTGACACTCATTGATAAGAATGACAGAATTTTGTTTGCACCTCGAAGAATTATAGAGCCGTAATTCAGCATAACTAATGTAGATAAAGTACTTCAGAAACTCTGGTGATGTCTTAGAAATCAACAGAAAATAGTCATTATCATCGGTCTTAGTACCAAAAAATTTTCTAAAAAATATTTAATCCAAAAATGAAAAACTATATGTGAGATGTCACTAGATTCTCGTTATAACTATTTCATTGACGATTCATTCGTTCAATGAGAAGAACCATACAAAAACGTCTTAGCAACAAGAGAAAAAAAATCTGATGAATTGAGTTTTGAATTATCTCTCGTTCTAAACAATGTCATCATTAACATCTCTTATTCCATTTGAATGGTTTGAAATTCATAGTAATTCTCGTTCACCTCAACTTCGTGTTGGTCATTCAAGTACATTTGTTCGTTCATCATCAAATATTTATATAATTGGTGGTGCAAATCCATCAGAATGTTTTGCAGATATTCATTCACTTTCATTACCATCAAAAACATCTGAATCATTTATATGGACAAAATTAATTGGTGAAGATTCAGCACTTCGACGTTATGAACATTCAGCTGTTTTATCATCAGAAAATAATGATCAAATTATAATATTTGGTGGTGCTAATACAGAAAATAATTTTAATGATGTTCATATATTTAATATTTCAACAAAAACAATCGAAAATTGTACACCAAAAGATAATAAATTAGTATCACCTCGAACTCATCATTCAAGTTGTTGTATACAAAATGGTTTATATATATTTAGTGGTGGTTTTCAAGGTGCTAAAGCAGTTGATGATGCTGAATTATATCGATTTGATTTAGGTAATTTTTTTTTTATTAATACAATTAAACTATTTAAAACAAAAACGAAAACCTAAATAATCTTTTAGTTTCTCATACATGGTCATGTGTACCAGCTCATGGTACTCCACCTGAACAACGACATGGTCATTGTTTATTATCACTTGGTAATTCTCGTCTTTATCTACATGGTGGTATGGATGGACGAACATTTTTTTCATCACTTTATTCAATTGATATTAATGAAAATCCACCAAGATGGAAAGAACATACATCATCATCTCGTCCAATGGCTCGAGCAGCACATGGTGGAGTTTCTATTGAAAATACATCAACATTATTTATATTTGGTGGTTTATCACGTAGTGGTCAAGCATTAAATGATACATGGTCATGGTCAGCAAATAATGAACAATGGACAGAAATTCTTTGTCGATCTTTACCAAGACCTAGACTTGATTTTGCATATTGTCTTGTAGAATATATAGATAATGAACAAGATTCAAAAAAAGTTATACCTTATATGTTTATTCATGGAGGAACAGATACACAAGGTGAAGTTTTTGATGATTGTTTTTTGTTAAGATTAACATTTGATAATGATCAATAAAAAGAAAAACATAAATCAAAATTTGTTTATTGAAATTTTATAATACATTTAATAAATTAAAGTTTAGAATACAAAAGTCAAATAAAATAAATAGTACTACTCATGTTAATGACATGACATATGAAAATATAAATGCAAAGATCAAGTCTTGAATATCAAAATAGTTGAAAACATTTCATTAACAGGAGTTTATTAAACAAAGCTAATTGATGAACTCGACTTTGATCGAAAAGAAAAAAAGTCGTTTTATTCAAACGTCGACACAATAAGAATTATTATTTAGTTGATGATAAATACGAAAAGAAAATTAGTCTGAATCCTGTATATTTTTCATATCTATCTTTTTTTCGGGCGTGTGAGTGTAGATAGATGAGAATAAACTGAACCATACCTTCATCCACGTCTTAAATGTGCCTTACTAATTGGCTGATAGTATTATCTTTGTTTCATTAATCAACTATTTATATTTCCGTTTCCCACACAGATAATTACAAACATTAGAATAATCATAAAAACATATATTTCAATATTATCAAAGTAAATCTGTTGATTAACCCTAAATATTCTAAAGAAATTTCTATTTTAAGAGCAAATTTATGATACTATCTGTAAACTACGAAGAAAACTTTTCCTATATTTGTTCTATAAGAATTACTAAAAAAAAACTCATTATATATTAGTAGGCACAAATTTTCAAGAAAACAAATGAGAAGCAAGAGAAGATTCAGAAAGGGAAAATCCTCTCACTTCTCCTTCATAAGTTTATGATCTATGAGTATGTGCTTAAAAAAAACATTTTTAAGTGAAAGCATTATTCTTACAGCTCGTTATTCGGAATCATTTCTTATGAAATCAGAAACTAGTCTTTTTCTCTATTAGAGATCTTAATGAGTTTGGCTAGACTAAAGAACATCACCCGATGAGTTACCGATCTTTAATTCGGCTTAGCCTATGTTTTTCTATTAAAAAAATAGCCCCATTCATGGAACACGAATTAGTCCATTCTCGTCGACGACGATTTTCGCCGAATTTCAACTTCTCCGAAAGAATTTTTCGCATATTTAATGACCCTGAACCACACCCACATCCCGCCCTCTTTTGCCTTATGTATTTGCTATCCATTACAGTCTATTGAAATCTCTGTCCTTTAATAGCAAAAGTAAAATCTACATGTCGTATCAAGTTGTCTCGTCAACTGATAACAGCTATATTCATTGATTATTCTTGTTCTGTCTATTCTCTGTCATATTTAAAACGATTTATTTGATTATTTATGTTGATATTACATTCTAAAAATTAATTTTTTACAAAATCAAATAAACTTTTATATGGAAAACGTTCAAACTTGGTTCAATTTTATATATACTGTTTAGTAGCGTCATCTAGTATTATTTTGTTCATAGATTTTCTTGACCAATAATTAAACTAAATAAACATTCATGTTTTTATATATATTCATTCATATTTAATATCATTTTTTTTTGTAAAATGGAAGATACAACACGTCTAACAAGTGAACATTCAATAAAATTATTTATTCAACGAGATTATTCAGAAGGTACAGCTG